CAGCGCTGGTGAACAGCGCCATCTGGCGGCCGGATCTGGAAGTTCTACTCTATAGATCCAAACAGGTTTATCATCAACTAAAACTATTAAAAAATCTTTTCATTCTTTGAAATAAATCGCAAATAAAATCATATACAAATATTAAATGAAAAAGGCTGCCATGCCTTGGCTGAACTGAATTAAAATTAAAGCTAAAAATAAATGTAATTTAAAAATGTAAATATAATAATAATAATAAAATGACAAAATGCACACTACAAAATTACTAAACTAAGATTAAGATAAAAACTAAAAATATGAAAATAAAAGCTACTTCAGAATGTTAATAGATGCCATAATAGTATATAAATAATTATAAAATAACACTTAAGTATTACTACTAAAATGTAAGCTAAAAATAAAATAAAATAATAAAATGACAAAATCATACCAGAATTGCTAGAACTAAAATTATATGTTATATTAATATTAATTTTGGGCCCTCACTCAATGTAAGTCTATTTATTCACCTTTTTATTGTCTATAGACAAATATAAAAATATCAGATATCAAAATCTGTTCATATATTTACTTTGAAACTAGGTGTGGACAATAAAATGGGTAAAAAATAATAATAGTAATCATATAGATTTATAGACAGGGTTATTGTAGTTAAACATAAAACATATATTTACTTAAAATAAAACAAACATTAACTGAAATAAAAAATAAAGTATAAAAAAACGTAAACTTTTTTTAGCTTGCCAAAGTAACATTTCTCATTTTAATTTAGTTTAACTTGTACTAAAATAACTAAAAATTAAATACAGTATATTAAAAATAACTACAAGAATACACAACAAAATTACTTAAACTTTAACTAATTCAAATGAAAATGGAAAATATAGAAATAAAGAAACAATTCAGAATATTAATCCCAATTATACTAAAATATTGCAGGGCCAAAGTCATATGTCCTGTATACTTGGAGGTAGGTTGTAAAATGTAATAATTAATTACATAATACATTTTTTTTAATAATATTTAAATAATTTTAAAATACTAAAAAGTTATTGAAAAAATATTGAAATATTAACTTAAACTCAGAGACACTCAAAGTAAATATTTCGAGGTGAGGTTTGACTGACAAAAAAAAGTTAGTGAATCCCTGCAACACCTAAAATGCTGTCTGTAGAGGCAGGTCACTAGGTTTTGGAACAGAGCTGGGTGTCAAGCTGAGAAATAGTGCTGTGGATCAGCTAGTGGTTCAATTTACAACAGTTAAGTTTTAGGTGACGGTAAAAAGGGAAAACAAATGGAAGCCATTCACTTAAATGCCATTAAGCTACAAATATAAACTTAGACAAAGTTAAAGGGGTCATATGATGCGATTTAAATTTTTCCTTTCTCTTTGGAGTGTTACAAGCTCTTGGTGCATAAAGAAGATCTATGTGTTTTTTTAACCTTAAACCGCATAAACACATTTCATTACACCAAATACACAAAATAATGTTCGTTTTAGCAACATCATATGACCCCTTTAATTGGATGAAAAGTATTAGACTTATCCTGAGATATTTAAGGCACTGCTGTAAAACATATCAACAGTGTTCAAAGGGTTCGAGGCTCTCAATGTCCCCGTTTTAATGGTGGTGTGTTCAGTTTTAGAGGATTCTGGATTAACTTGGCTCCATGTCCACCATTCTTCTGAAGGAAGCTATACTCAAAAGGCTATTGAAATCTCCTTCTCCATTTTTTCCCATGTTGGCAGTAAACAGAGAATGTGGACAACTGTTTGAATCTTCACAAATACCTAAAGGACTGAGAATGACAAACACTGAACCGTTATCATGCGTCAGTCTCCACAACACAATGACTCTCTGAACGACCCGGACTAGTCTGGAAATCATTAGCATGCAAACATTTAAAATAGTCTGCAATCCAACAATGATGAGAGAGAAAAAGAGTTGGGTTTGTTACTTGAACCGAAGAGTTATTGGAAGAAATCACTGGTGTTCAGAGGAATGAAATTTAAATTTGCTGAAGATGTGCTCATCCTCAGGCCATTCAAGATGTAGATGAGTTTGTTTCTTCATCAGATTTGGAGAAATGTAGCATTGAATCATTTGTTCAATATTGCTGTCAAAGACACAAAGTCCCAACCCTAACAAATCAAATCAGCAGCAAATTAAAGGTTCAAATAAATGCTGTTGAAGCCCAAACACCAGGCTGGTCTTTGGCTTGTTCTGGACCAACACGGATGAAGATCTAGGAACACGTCATCCTTGCAAAACAACATTACACCTAAACTACTCCTGAAATGAGACGTTTAGAAATTGTTCTAAGCTAACTCAAGTCCTAAAGCTATAGGCATTACCCTTGTGAAAATGTACACTTTAGCATACTGTTAAAAAAAGAGCACTTACTCTGGAAATAATATACTTAAGTGTGAACTGACTGTAATGTTTTCAGACACTTAACTGAATGTTATCTGGAATTCAATTTACATTAAATGCAATTAACTGAACTTTAGAGTGTGTTTGACCCATTTACTTGATATAAAACTAACTTAGTCAAATAAAATAAAACAAAACAACAAAAAAGGAAACTTTTTCAGCATGCCAAGGCAACTGTACTTATTTAAATTAGCTTAACTTGGTGTACTAAAATAACTAAAACTAAAACTGAAATAAAAACAAATATATTAACAAACTTTATATATATATAAAAAACCTAATAAAAAAATACACAACAAAATTACAGAAACTTTAACTAAAATTAAAATGAAAAATATAAAAATAAAAATGAATTAAATTGTTCAGTGATACTAAAATAACAGTTTACCAGTCTCATCTAAAGTCCAGAATGTTATTGTATATATTTGGAGGTGGGTTGTAAAATAGAATAATTAATTAAATCATAAAAAAAAATGAAAAAGAACAATATTTAAATAAGTTTAAAATCAAACATCTTACACTAATCTTAAACACTTACTAAAAAGTTGTTGAAAAAATATTAAAATATTAACTTAAAATCTCGTGGATACTCAAAGTAAATATTTCGAGGTGAGGTTTGACTGACAAAAAAAGTTAGTGAATCCCTGCAGCACCTAAAATGCTGTCTGTAGAGGCAGGTCACTAGGTTTAGGAACAGAGCTGTGTGTCAAGCTGAGAAATAGTGCTGTGGATCAGCTAGTGGTTCAATTTACAACAGTTAAGTTTTAGGTGACGGTAAAAAGGGAAAACAAATGGAAGCCATTCACTTAAAGGCCATTATTTTCTTAAAGTTACTGCTGAATGTACTGACAAGCATTTATAATAAACTAAAATATACTTTAATGTCATTTCTATTGAAACTTGTATGTCTTGTATCTAAATAAATTATAATTTCACTTTTGTAATTCTGAATTGCAATTTAGTAAAATATAAACGTACTTGTGCTTTAGTATGTTATAGTCAACACATAAGTGTACTTCTTTAAAGCATAATAAATATTATTAAAAGATAATGATGTTTTATATATTTTAAAGTAAAACTTTGACATTATAAAGTGCACTTTTTAAAAGTGATCTGAGAATCTGAGAATGGTCTAAATAAATGCAATGCAAAGGCGTCCCCTAGTGGAGTGAATGAAAACACCAGTCACTTAAAGGAACACTCCACTATTTTTGAAAATAGGCTCATTTGGCAGCAAAGTTCCTTGATTATTACACCATATCGGCCTAGAAAATCGCAACTTTTCATTTCCCGTCGGTCTTAGTACACGATGTAACTACAGAAGAGTCAAGTTTTAAATAGGAAAAATATCGAAACTCTTTGGTCATTTTTGAGCGAGATGCTAACGGTCTAATCAGAT